TCTCTTTCTCCTCATGCTCCTCTTCTGGTTTGAGGTTAAGGAGATAGCTGCTGTCATTATAGGGTTTGGGGGTGAATCAGCTGGCGGGTTTGACAGTGGAGTGGCCGACGGGCTTGACTGCGGAGCAGCCGGCGGGCTTGACACAGAGATGGTTCTGGATCGGTGGCTGGAAGCTCTCCAGACATCAAAGAATTCCTTCCCTCCAGCTCATTCCAGTGGTGTCTGGGAGGTCCACGGTGCGATGGTAATTGGCCCTGATCCAGAACAAAGAATTAAGCGTGGCGTCATCCAACACCGTCATCACGGCGAGCCCGCAGAATTCCCGGGCGAACTCTACAAATGGAAGATCCTTACGGGCTAGGGCGGCGAATCTCGCAGTGGCTTCCATGACCACAGGGAAACGGAAAAAAAACTTTTAAAAACGGAAACAATAACGGGGAGAAGGGGTGCCGCTTATTGTTTGATCCAGTGTTCTGTCACACACTGCTACTGTGAAGAGACGAACGAAGCGCAGAGACGTGGAAGAATTACAATCAACAGTCTTTAATAATCCAAAGGAAAACACACGAAGCACAAGGGATGGACGTTAGACACTGGACACTAGACATAGGAAAACACTGGGCTTAAGTAATCGGAACTAATGAGGAAATAAACGACACACAGCTGAATCAAATAGAACTCAATGGGAACAGGAACAGGAAGAACCAAATATGGGCACAATCAGACACGGGAGAAACTGGGTCAAGGCACGGGGAGCAAAACACAGCACAACAGGAACACAGGTCTGACAGTCATTCATTAAGAAGTCATTTAGATTTTTTAACATTCATTGATGATTTGTTCACAAATCAGACATCTCTATTTCAAAGTATGGAATTTTCAATATGGTGAACTATTTATCTAAATCTGTATAAGATTATGATTATTATGTACTGATTGCTAAAGCTCATTGAATCTTTTCTGCAGGGTCATATTGCCCAGTGGGTTCATCTCTTCCTCAGCCCTGTGATTTAGGCTCTTACTGTAATCAGACTGGCCTGCACACTCCTGCAGGCCTCTGTTTTGCTGGATTCTTCTGCTCCACTGGCTCCTCAAATCCCAGTGCTATGCTTTGTCCTCCTGGACACTACTGTCCCCAGGGCACACCACTACCCCTGCCCTGTCCACAAGGCACAATAAGGAGTAAGTAAACTACTTGCTACTTAGGGCTAAAAGGACAAATCATTAATAATTGATAATTAAAATATTTAGCAAGGAATTTCATTACTGATGATAGTAAATATAGCTTAAAATATACATTTACATTTAATTTATTTTACAAAATAAATTGATCCTGGTCATTATAGTAAATCTTCAATTTATCTACAGTATCTACCAGCATTTCTTCATAGTTACATTCTATAGATCTTACTTTATATCCGTAATGCAATAGATGTTTGACCTCTTGTCTAGAGCAGGCGCCAGTGCAGCACTGATGAGGGGGCGGCTGAAGTTATGAAAGGTTGCGATGATATAGCACAGAAAACTATCCCAATTAAAAAACATATGTGACCCATTCACATATTTGTCGGACCGTAAGCAAACCTGCCCACTACTACTACAACTATTAGAACACTGGGTTCACACAGGCAGAATTTAAAAAGCGCAAGGTCTAAAGGCTGAACTTCTTTGAACTTTAGCGCTGTGTTTCAGAATGATCATGCGCGAGAAGCTGCTATAAAGACCTGAGTTGAGTGCAGCATTCAAAGATGTCCATAGCGCGTTTACATTGAAATACAATGGAAAAGTACCACAGTGGAATGAAAAAATGCATTCTGAGTGAATGACCCTGCTAAACGCTACTTAGCAAATACAGATGGTAAAGTATTGAATAATATTACATAAAACAAAATCGCACAGGCCAATATATTCAAAAATCTGACATCCAGGAAATAAACACATTTTAGTCTTAGGCAGTAGTTTCACCACAAATACAGACAAGTGCCACCACCACCAGAAATACTTAATTGTGTCTTCTTTACTATAAAACACACACTTATTGCAACCGATGATGTAACACATATTCATTGCGACCCATTTAACAGATGCAATTATTTGATGGTAAGTTAGAACAACTTGAACAGCAACAAACAATAAGTGAAAGTGACGTGACATGTGGCGACCCATACTCGGAATTAGTGCTCTGCATTTATCCCATCCAAAGTGCACACACACAGCAGTGAACACACACACACCGTGAACACACACCCGGAGCAGTGGGCAGCCATTTATGCTGCGGCGCCCAGGGAGCAGTTGGGGGTTTGGTGCCTTGCTCAAGGGCACCTCAGTCGTGGTATTGAAGGTGGGAGAGGGTGCTTCACATTCCCTCCCCCCCCCTACAATCCCTGCCGGTACAAGACTCGAACCCGCAACCTTTGGGTTACGAGTCTGACTCTCTAACCATTAGGCCACGACTTCCCCACAAATAACAGCGAAGTAATCAACTAACTACGATCATCTAGCCCTCTATTAAAAATTAAAACAATTGTTTTATCATATCTTTAGCTTACTTAGTAGAGCTGCATACTTAGTTGTGCGGGAAGTTTTTGTGTCAAATGTAACAATTAAAATGTGACTTTGTGAAATGGACTGCCCTAAATTGTTGCTATAGTAGCATAATATTAATGCTAGAAAGCCTATGCACCTGGCAGCGTTATTTTTTTAAATGAACTATTATATTTTGTAATTAAAATCTATTTTCACACTCATCTTGAGTGAGGGGCGGGATAGTCTGAGCGAGGGGCAACGCCCCCTCACGCAGCCACCCCCCACCCCCTTTGGCGCCGGCCCTACTTTTGCATCCCTGTCTTTATTGCCTATTAACATTTTACTTGCCATTAACCAATTAAAACGCTGTGGCTGGATGCTTATCAATCACTTTCTTATAGTACGAGTCACTTAATGGTTTGAATTTTTCTGGAAGCTTTATGGTTCCACTGTTTTAATACTCACTAGACTCTGCTGGAGGATCCATTGCAGACGATTGCCTTGAATGTCCACCAGGATATTTCTGTGAGCGAAGAGGCCTAACCAAGCCCTCTGGTCTGTGTTCTGAGGGCTATTACTGCCCTGGAGGACAGAACACATCCAGACCACCAGAGTTTGTGTGTGGTGCAGGCCACTTCTGTGAAAGTGTAAGTGGAAATCTCACCATATACACATTTGAACTATTATTTTATTTTATTTTATTTTATTTTTACATTAAATACAGGGACAAACTTTTTAGATTTATATTATTCTTATTATAAATACATTTATTTTTTAGATTATTTATTGTGACATTGATGACACTAGTGACATGAAATAAAGGAACAACCTTTTTTTTAAGTCTGTATTATTAAAATATTTTGTTTTGCATTTTTTCTCGCTTATTAGGTCTTGCCTTACCTGGAAAAAATTACATGAGTAATAAATCATTAAACACACCCTTTAATGAACACATTCAGTAAAAGTCATAGAAGTTATATACCAGATAGTGAACAAGGCACCGGGCTGATATTTAAACCATTTCATTTTTTTATGAAAAGTTAGGTTATATAATTGTGTCTTTTACAAGAGATTTCTTTAATATTTAAATTTTTCATGACTGAAATGTACATTTTTGAGAGTGACTCAAACAAATACACTATAAAAGTATAAAAAAAACAAAAGTGAAATGGCATGAATTTAGTGAAATGATTTTGTTAATTTAAATCTAATTCCCTAGTTTGTTATTTTTAATGCATTTAAATCTTTTACAGTGCCCCTATTATGCCTTTTCGAATATTACCTTTCATGCAGTGTGTCATGTAGCTGTATGTGAACATAAACTATCTGCAAAGTTGTGAAGCTGACAGTGCACGAATAAAGTTATTGTCTATCAAAAAAAAGAGTCGGCTCGCAATCGCCTAAACGAGTCGTCAGGAATTTGAATCTTATTCTGTTACGGCTCTACGTCACGAAGTAAAACATTTGCATAATGTCTGCCCACGTTCTACGTCGCCAACTTGCCCGCCCACAAACAGTAAAATTTCTGTGTGGTTAACATCATGTCGAGAAGACACTGTATCCTACGCTGTGAGAGTAAATTTGTTTTATCACAGCTTATAATTACCACAAGCTTGTTAACACTTTACACTTACAGTACCACTGAGAAACGTCCTGCTCCTGTCGTGCTTGCGAATCAGTCTCTTGTCGATCAGCCAGTTCAACCATTTCATCATCAGACTCCGGCTCCAATTGGTATGGTACAGTCGAAACCATCTTTTCTATGTATTGACAAGTCTCCAGGGCTGTCATTCCATCATGGCAATGGGCGTTTCGTTTCCGACACGTGCTGTATGCGGTAGACCAATCCAGAGTCAATCTCTCTATGGCTCTGGACCAATCACAAAGGACTGCACCATCTGACCAATAACAGCAGTGAGGGCTCACGGAAAGGAGGGGTTTAGAGAGACAGATTCTTTGAACTGCTTCGCACAAGTCGTTTACGAATCATTTAGAAATGAGGTAAAATTAAATCTATTTTTTAAGAAAACTAACGTGTTTTCTGACCTTGCATGCATGTAAACCTGTTTTAGGAGACTCATAAAACAATATTAGCAACCTTAAAAATGGCATAATAGGGCCACTTTAATATGTTAAAAGTGAATATAAAAATGACAGTGACCTTTATAAAACATACTCATAATATTGTTAATGCTCTAACAGGGCAGCATCATAGAGAGGCCATGTTTCCCAGGAAGCTTCCAACCCAGTCTAGGCCAACATAGATGTGAAGTGTGCCCTGCCCGCTTTTTCTGTCCTGAAAACGGTATGAATGATATTTCAACAAATTAATGGATGAAATATATATGTGTTCTTTATGCCTTTACATAAGGATGTTTTTCTTGTACTAGGTATGACGCACCCACTCCCATGTCAGCCTGGATTTTATTGTCCAGTTGGGGCATCTAATCAGCATCCATGTCCTCCAGGGAGTTATGGGAACCTGTCTGGATTGGCTGAGTCTTCTGAATGCTCTCAATGTGACCATGGGACCTATTGTATGGGGTCAGGTATGACGCATGAACAATGATTATATTTTCCCCAGAGAGAACATACTAATCCTACATGCTTGGTCTGATATGTGGAGCTGATATTAGTTTCTCTGTCCAGGAAATGTGTCACCAACTGGCTCTTGCAGTGCTGGATTCTTGTGTTTTGGAGGAGCTGTCCTTCCCTCCCCAAATGATAATGAGACTGGAATACCGTGTGCAACTGGGTCTTACTGTCCAGCTGGAAGTTTTGCAGGAATACCTTGTCCCAAGGGCACATTTAGGTATCGATGTGACACATTACAATACAAAACAACTGAAAAAATGTTAAAATTCTTTATATTAAAAGCAGCTAAAAAGGAGAACATTAATTGCATTGCATTATATTTTTAAAATAATTGTAATTAATTCACATTTTTTATTAAAAATGTAATTCTATTAACTGCAATTTTTAAAAATAAAAATGTAATTGTTTTGCAGCAGTTTTATTGCTCAGAGCCAGGTCTGACCACAGTCAGTGGACCCTGCTTGCCAGGTTTGAATATCATTTACAGCAGAGATTTTTTAGGCCTTCACAGGACTTCTTTAAGTTGAATATTAATATGGCACGTTGTATTCCTACAGGGTTTTACTGCAGTGAAGGATCTCAGACTTCAGCTCCCGTGTCAGCCGTGTATGGTGATATTTGTCCTCCAGGTCACTACTGTGAAATTGGTAGTGCTGTGCCAACTCCCTGCCCAGTGGGCAGCCGGCGCCCTGATAGTGGGGGAAAGGGCACAGATGATTGCATGCTTTGCCCTGGAGGTACTGTGATACTCCATTTTAGAGATATACTGTCTGCTCCTTTGACTTTATAAGGCTCCATTTAAGTGAAATTTACTTAAGTTAGGAAGTTACTACCATTTCTAGAAGAGGTCAAATGCAAAATCGATTCTACTCATGAGTGTTTTTATGTATTGTTGCTGTTGTTTGTTCGCAGGTCAGTTTCAGGATCAGAAGGGGCAGAGTGAGTGTAAACCCTGTCCTCCAGGTTTCCATTGTATCAACCTCACAAGAGGCTTTATGGGGGTCAGCACTCCTTTGGTCTGTCCTGAAGGCTTTTACTGCCCCAATGAGACTCAGTCTGGAAACCCAGTTCCATGTCCCAAAGGCACATACAGTGATTCTCTTGGCCTAATTTCAGCAGGTGATTTATTCTGTTCTGTATTGCAATAACTGAGCAAATGAACATGATTAAATGCATTCTTCTGTTTATATCTTGCTTACTGGGTCTGTTTTTTTTTGTATAAATGCAGAGCAGTGCCTGTTGTGTCCTATGGGACATTTCTGCGGTTCAGATGGACTCTCTGAGCCCTCGGGGCCCTGTGCTCCTGGATTCCTCTGTTTTGTGCAGGCCACAGTTCCCAACCCCACTGACAACAGCACTGGCACTTTGTGTCCACCAGGGGCATACTGCCTTCTGGGAACAAGAGCAGGTACTCTTTGGAACAGTGTTATTTTAGTATTATTTATACAATATTGTACTATTTATTAATATTTTTAATAAGATTTTATTTGTATATTTTCTTTTTTTTTTTTTTTTTTCGTTTTAGTAATTGTTATGTGCTTATGTCATTTTTTTATTAGTTTTTGTTGCTTTTAAATATTTGTGTTTAGCTTTCATTGACATTAAATTTTTTTTTTTTTTTTTTTTTTTTTTTTTTTTTTTTTTTCGTTTTAGTAATTGTTATGTGCTTATGTCATTTTTTTATTAGTTTTTGTTGCTTTTAAATATTTGTGTTTAGCTTTCATTGACATTTTAGTTTTAGCATTTTTTGTACAATCAATTTTTATTTCAGTTATTCATCTAATATATGTATTTAATTTCAGCTTCATTTAAATGAATGAACCATTTTACTTTTAGTTAACAACAACAACACTATGGAGGAGTCTTAAGGGTTTTCATAAGGGTATTCAACCTTTACTGACCCAGAGACCCCCAAAAAGGCTCTCAGACAACCCAAGGAGCCCCGAAAAGCTACATATTCTAATAACTTTTTATTGAAAAATTATCATTAAAAATAAATAATTATTACATTATATAATCAAATCATTATTTAATGAATTTATCATATAAATATAACTTATCTCAAAGACAAAAATGCTCTGCATGCCCTTTTTCTCTCATTTGAATCATTTGTTTTCACAGATAGGGGGAGTGTACATTTTTTTTTTTCTTTTTCTTTTCAACCTTACCTGATTGAGCATAATGGTTCATTTAATTTAATTTCTTTCTTTGTTTCCATAATGAGAAATTTATCTTGAGCAGTCAAGAGAGCAGATAAACTTTACAGAGTTACACACACACACACACACACACACACACACACACACAAAATTCACAATATTAATATTCCACTTACATACACTTACTATTCACTCACAATACCCACACATTTCCCACAAACCCTATTTTTCTTATTCTAGATTCTATTTTTTCATTCAAATGTAACAAAATATTTTAAAGAAAATTATTAGCTTTTTTATCCTTTGTGGAAAAGGATAGTTCAAAGACCCCTGGATGAAAACCATTACAATACCGCTAAAGCATTGATATTATGCCAGAATTTGGAGTTGTATGATGCAACCATGAGTCATATTCTATTATTGTCTAATTCTATTGTACCATGTAGGTGAATGTTCTGCGGGCTACTACTGTGACTGGGGCTCTAACAGTCCGGAGCAGAGCCTCTGTCCTGCCAGTTTCTATTGCCCCACAGGCACACACAAGCCCCTGGCCTGCACTGCAGGCACTTACAGCTCCGTCATGGGCAACAGTCACCGAGAAAATTGTGAGCCATGTCCATTAGGCTACTACTGTCAGGGTGTGTTATTTATTCTGTCTACAAGAAAATTTGTTTAAAACCGTCTCTGTGCTCTTATAAATCTATTACAATTGATCCTATTGCATTACAATGCAGGGGAAGCAGTAGCAGAGCCTCTTCCATGTCCACCGGGGCATTTCTGCCCCACAGGCACATCACAGGGCACTCAGTTCCCCTGCCCTCCAGGAACAATGCAGCCACAGTCTGGGACAGCCAGTATAGATGAATGTCTACAATGTCCTGCAGGTCAGACTGAAAATACATGACAACAAAAAAATGTTATTACATACAGAGACTGCTGTTCAAACATTTGTGGGTCAGTAATATTTTGACATAAGTTTTACTTTTATTCAGCAAGGATGCATTCAATTGATGAAAAAAATAATTAAAGACATTTATAGTAAAAGATTTCTGTTTCATAAATGCCTTTCTTTTGAACTTGTATTCATCAAAGAATCCTGTAAAAATGTATCACAGTTTCTACAAAAATATTAAGCAGGCCAACTGTTTTCGACATTGATGATAATAATAAGAAATCAGTATATTAGATAGCTTTCTGAAGAATCATGTAACTTAAAAGACTGGAGTAATGACTGCTAAAAATTCAGCTTTGCATCACAGGAATAAATTACATTTCAAAATATAATATAATAGAAAATGGCTATTTTAATTTCTGCAAATATTTCTTATTTTCACTGTCTTTACTGTATGTTTTATCAAATAAAGGCAGTGAGCATAAGAGCATTCTTTCAAAAACTTTTAAAAATGTTATGGACCCCAAACTTTTGAATGGTATGTATTAAAGGGTTTTCAACCTTTACAGACCCAGAGACCCCCAAAAAGCTACACATTATAATGCCTTTTTTAGTGAAAGCCTTAATTATCATTATTACATTATATAATCAGATCATTATTTCATTAATTTATCATATCGATATAATTTATCCCTAAACTTTTGAACAGTTTGTATTTACATCTACATCTAATTTATGTAATCTCTCTGTGTAGGCATGTTTTGTGCTCGCCATGGTCTTTCAGAGCCTACAGGGTGCTGCCAGGATGGATTTTACTGCCCTTCGGGTGCCACAAGTCCCAACGGCACTGGAAATGTGATATATATCATCAGTTCTGTTTCTTAAAAAAGACACCATGTGTTCACAAAGGGTTAAACTCATTTACAGTGTGTGATTTGCAGATTGAATCTACAGGCAACAGCATGTGCCCGCCTGGCCATTATTGCCCAACTGGTATCGGCTCTCCTCTCCCATGCCCCGCTGGAACATTCTCCAGCTCCCCAGGGTTGAGTGGGGCGGAGCAGTGTCAGCCGTGTCCTCCTGGGTACTTCTGTGAGCAAACTGCTATGGTGTATCCATCAGAAGCAGCTCTCTGTGATGCTGGGTAATTATATCTATTTGTGGCTGGGTTGGAAAACAGATACAGTGGAGTGGCAGTGAAGTGCTTTTGTGATTGGCTCGTTGAGGAGATTTTCATCAGGCATCTAAAACCTGGTGTATGCTCATAAAACAATGATTTTCTTTTGAAATATAGTTTATGACAGCTTTATTTCTCCCTCACAGATATGTGTGTATCAATGGCAGTCGTAGTGCTCGACCGGTAGATGGACTGCAGGGTTATATTTGTCCGAGCAGACACAGTTGCCCCATTGGTACTCCATTGGAAGTGCCTTGTGAGCCTGGCACATACAGCAGTGCTCCTGGTGCTGCCCAATGTCTCTCATGCCCAGCTGGCACTATGTGTCCTTCCCCTGGCACACAGGAGCCATCCCCATGTCCCATGGGTGAGTCCAGCCCTGTGCTGAGATTATTATGATGGCTCATTAGTAATTACGTTTTTCTATTCTGCTGCAAATCCTTTTTCCCCCATCATACAATGCAATTTAAAAGTTTGCACTCAGTAAGATTTATTTGATGGTTTTGAAAAAAGTCTCTTATGCTGCATTCATTTCATCAGTAAAAGCAGTAAAATTGTGAAAATTATTAGAAATTAAAATAACTGTTTTCTATTTTAATATATTTTAAAATTTAATTTATTTCTGTGATGCAAAGCTGAATTTTCAGTAGCCATTACTCAAGTCTTCAGTGTCATATGATCCTTCAGAAATCATTCTAATATGCTGATTTGCTGCTAAAGAAACATTGCTTTTTAACAGTTGTGCTGCTTAATTTTTTTTCATGGAATCCGTGATGCATTTTAATGATACATTATTGTCAGGATCATTTGATGAATAAAAAGTATAAAAGATGAAATTATAAATATCTTTCCTGTAATTTTTAATCAATTTTACAGTATGTGTCCTTTCTGAATAAAATAATACAATTTAAAAAAATTAATAACAAAAAAATTAATCTGAATTAATTTGTAAAAAAAAAAAAAAGACTGAATCCAAACCTTTGAACAGTAGTGTATATACTATCATGTTTGCTAACAATCTGCCATCTTTCCTGTGTTGCATCAGGTCATTTTTGCCCTGCTGGCACTGCTGCAGCTGTACCCTGTCCTGTGGGCACACTGGGACAGGTTACCAGAGCTCAGTCGGAGGCTGCCTGTGTGCCCTGCCCTACTGGCCTCTACTGCAGTTCACCTGGAACATCACAACCACAGGGTCTGATATCATCCCACACTTTTTTATAAGAGCACAGGTTTTAGTCTGTGACTGTATCATATGGACTAATTGTTGTTTTATTTGTAGGCCAGTGCCAGCAGGGTTCTTTCTGCCAAGGAGGGTCTCCAAATCCTGCTCCTCTGAATATAACTGGCTACCTCAGGAATGGCCCCTGTCCGCAAGGTCACTTTTGCCCTTCTGGAACCCTAATGCCTCTGCCTTGCCCAGCAGGCAGCATTCGTAACCTCACAGGTGTGTACAGACCCACACATTTATTTTAAAGGGGTCATATGATGCTTTTTTAAAGATCATTATTTACAGCTTGTAACACTCCAAAGAGAAAGGAAAACTTGAAATCGCATCATATGACCCCTTTAATATAAATCAATAAAACATTTAGAGCCTCTAAGGAAAAACAATAAAGCAGTTCAAAAGGGCAGTTATTATACGCAACCAAAAACAACAAGAGCAGCATGTAGTTGCATATTAATAATTTACCAGGGATAGCGCATCAAAATAAATAAGCTATCAAATCCAATACGCTGTGTGGCTTAAATGCACTGGTGCATAAGTAATATTGCACAGATTCAGCTTTAGTTGTTCTTATAAATTCACTCTAGCACTATACTTTTAAATAATTCACACGCTTCTAAATATTGCCCTTTCCATATTCTCTGGAACCTTTTGCACATTAATATTTTATCATTTGCGTTCTTTATGTACTAACAAGCAGTGTTTTTTGTTAATAATATTGATCTGCCCACAGGGGGTTACTCCATAGAAAGCTGTCTTCCCTGCCCAGCAGGGCATTACTGTGCTAGCGAAGGCCTGGATGCTCCAACTGGACCCTGTGCTGCAGGCTTTTACTGCCCCGTAGACTTCTCCTCCACCACCCCGCACGCCTTCCTCTGCCCCAAGGTCAGTTCTGCCTCCTTCACACCCTTCTATCGCTTTTTAATCTGTGCCTAGCAACTTGACTGACAGGTTTTGCTCTCTCAGGGTCATTACTGTCCCTTGGGCTCAGCCCTGGCCTTGCCCTGCCCCACGGGACAGTACCAGCCGAATCCGGGCTCGGATAACTGCATCCCCTGCCGTCCAGGCTATTACTGTGAGGAGGCAATTATCGGAGACCCCCGGCCTTGCCCGCCACACTCCTACTGCCCTGCAGGTAACCCATGCTGCTGTAACTCTCTATATTGTGTCTGTGGTGTCATTAGTACACGCACATTATCTGATTCTGCTTGTAATTGCAGCAACAATGGTTCCTCAGCCCTGTCCCAATGGCACATACACCCCACTTGAGGTCGGTGGTTTGCAGGAGGAGAGAGAGTGTTTGCCGTGTCCACCAGGAAAGTTCTGCAAGTATGTTTACAGATCTTATAAGAGTGTTTCTTCAACCATGGACACTTATGACCTTGTAGACTTTTAGAAAATAAACTTAAACTTTACACACTCTCTCTTATTTTATTATTTATTTGTATGCTACTATTCAGATGTTTGGGTTAGTAAGATTTTTAATGTCTTTGAACGAAGTCTCTTATGCTCACCAAGGCATTTATTTGGTCAAAATACAGTAAAACTGTAATATTTATTGCAATTTAGAATAGCTGTTATAATATATTTTAAAATGTAATTTATTCCTGTGGTGGCAAAGATGAGTTCCCTTTCTGTCGTTCACTTCGAAGTTGTGTCGTGTGTACAACACTAGGGGTCACTCTTGGGAGCCCAAACACCTCTGACATCTTTGAGAAAAGGCCAATGAAATTGGGTGTGCAGAATTTGCATGACTGGCCACGCCCCGGGCATCCGGGTATAAATAGACCAGCATAGCATCTGCTCACTCGTTCTGTTTTTCGGAGCCGAATGCAGCGTCTCTCACTGAGAAGTTGCGATTATTCACCTCTCGATTCCTCGTCGTTGGATCTAAGGCACGGTCAGTGGTCTCTCCCTACTCATACACAGATAAGCATTGTGAGAATACCCCTGGGTGCTTCAACAGTGATCTTTAAAGAGCAAATTTCCTCTAAAAGAGTACAATTTCTCTGAGAGCTACACAGGTGGAATTGTGTGTTACATCATGCCTTTCTGTCCGTGTGTTTCTGGTTTTGGTTGGCACGTCTCGAAAGACGACCGGCACGAGTGTTGTATTCAGTGTTTGGGCCGTGCTCACGCTGAGGCAGCGCTTGTGGATGGTTCGTGCCCCGCTTGCGAGGCACTTCCCATCGGCACGTTGCGCTCGCGGCTCGGGTTCTTCTTCAAAAGACCCAGAGTCACCGCGGCTGCTTGCCGCTCTGGTCCTTTTACCTCTGGGTACGAGGCCACAGCGATGTGCACCACGGAAGAGCATGGGGATGCGGGATCAGTTTCGCCGGAGCAATCGCTGTGAGCTTCCCGTTCTTCCCTTGCTTTGTGTTTTAACGGTCGAGTTTCCGGATGAGTTTGAGAGCTCGTCTGAGAGGCGCTGAGCCTCAGTCCGAGGCTGATGCTGAGATGGCAGCTGTGCTTGCCCGGGCAGCCAAGAGCATCGGGCTGGAGTGGTCTCCCCCACCCTGCCCCGAGCGCTTGCGGCTGGACGATTGGATTCTGGGTGCTGAGCGCGACACTAAGCCGCGCTCGGCCCCGATGCCTTTCTTCCCAGAAGTGCACGAGGAGCTGACGAAATCGTGGAAGGCCCCTTTTTCGTCCAGAACACAATACAACGGCTCCTCTGCCCTCACCACCCTCGATGGGGGTCCAGCGAGGGGGTATACGGAGGTTCCCCAGGTGGAGAGAGCGATTGCGGTGCATCTTTGCCCGCAAAACACCGCCACCTGGCGGGGTCGCCCGAGACTCCCGTCCAGGATTTGTAAGTTCTCTTCGTCCTGGGTAGCGAAGGCTTATTCGGCTTCTGGACAAGCTGAGTCCGCCCTGCACGCCATGGCCATCCTGCAGGTCTACCAGGCCAAGGCATTGAAAGAACTGCACAAGGGTGGTCCCAACCCAGAGGTACTGCAGGAACTGCGCTCAGCAACTGACAATGCCCTTGGGGCTACGAAGGTCACGGCGCAGGCTCTGGGGAGGGTGATGTCCACTTTAGTGGTCCAGGAACACCACCTGTGGCTCAACCTGGCTGAGATGCGGGAAGCCGAGAAAGTACGCTTTCTTGATGCCCCCATTTCACAGGTTGGTCTCTTTGGCAACACCGTGGAAGAATTTGCCCAGCAGTTCTCCACGGTGAAGAAGCAAACGGAGGCCATCAAACACATCCTGCCTCGGCGTGGGTCAGGTCCTGTTCCTGCACCCCCTAGTCAGCAGCCCCCGTCTGCTCATCGCCGGGGACGGCCCCCTGCGAGGACTGCTGAGGCCCCGCAACAGCCCGGGCCTTCAGTCAAGCCTGACCAACGGCCCACCACTCGCAGGAAGGTGGCACCACCAGCTCGTCATCAGGGCACCAGAAACCCTCGCAAGGCTTCAAAGCGTTCCTGAGACGGGCAACCAAGGGAGGAGGGACCATTTGGCCAGCCTGGATCCACTTCTGGCGGAGGGACGGGAGGTGGATTCGGCTCCACCACGGCTGTCTGCCACCTTGCAGATAGCCACCACTTGGTCAATAAAAGAACAATTTCCTTCTTCTCTGGGTCACACACACAGCATTTTTGGCCCTCACATTTGTGACGGCCAGACGTTGAAACCATGCATCAGAACCTGTTTGGACACAGACACTCTGTCTCCTCACGTTCAGATGCAAAAGGTCTATCACTCCGCCAACACGATGCATGCTGGCGAACTCATGTTCCCTCATCCGTCGGTGGCACATGTGACAGACCCTGCGGACAAGGCGCTGTGTGTTTCACAGGACAATTCACTTCCTACCACAGCACCTTCCATTCCGCTCAGCCACAGGAACCCTGCCTGAGGTACATCAAACATGGTTCCTTTGAGACCGTTGGCAGTGTATCTGGATGCTTGGTCAAGCCTCTCCAATCCCTCCCGATGGCTCCTCAGAACCATTTGGCTCGGCTATGCGATTCAGTTCGCCAGGCGCCTGCCCAAGTTCAGGGGCATTCTGTTTACCCCAGTACGAGGCGAGAATGCTGCTGTTCTTCGAGCGGAGGTCGCAACCCTTCTCAAGAAAGGTGCAATCGAGCCTGTTCCCCTGGCCGAAATGAAGAAGGGGTTATACAGCCCGTACTTCATTGTACCCAAGAAGGGTGGGGGCTCAGACCAATCCTGGATTTGAGGACTCTGAACCGGGCCCTTCACAAGCTTCCGTTCAGCATGTTAACCCTCAAGCACATATTAACGTGTCAGAGATCAGGATTGGTTTGTGGCAATAGACCTGAAGGAATGCATACTTTCATGTCTTAATCCTACCAAGGCACAGGCCGTTTCTTCAGTTTGCCTTTGAAGGACGGGCATATCAGTACAAGGTTCTTCCCTTCGGGCTGTCCCTGTCTCCTCGCGTCTTTATGAAGATCGCAGAGGCTGCCCTTGCCCCTCTCAAGGAAGTGGGCATTTGCATTCTCAATTACCTCGATGACTGGCTGATCCGAGCTCACTCGCGAGAATTGGTTTGCGCACACAGGGACATGGTCTTCGACCACCTAGCCTGATTGGGACTTTGGGTCAACTGGGAAAAGAGCAAACTCTCCCCTGTGCAGAGTATTTCTTTTCTCGGCGTAGAATTGGACTTGGTTACGATGACTGCACGCCTCTCTCAGGATCGTGCTCAGTCGGTGCTGAAATGCTTGAGGGCTCTCAAGCAGAGAACAGTGGTCCCTTTCAAAAATGTTCAGAGGCTCCTGGGGCATATGGCGTCCTCAGCCGCAGTCACGCCGCTGGGACTGATGCATATGAGACCACTTCAGCACTGAATACGAGCCCTACGCACATACCTAGATCGCACTCAGAGTTTCAGACGCTCTGAACAGCTCTTTATCTGCTTCGGAGGACAGCAGAAGGGGAATGCTGTCTCCAGACAGAGGATCTCCCACTGGATTATGGATGCGATCCGAATGGCCTATTAAGCCAGAGGCCTGCCTTGCCCACTGGGAGTGAGGGCTCACTCTACCAGAGGCATGGCTGCATTAGCAGCCCTGGCGAACTGGGCCTCTCTAGCGGATATCTGTAGAGCTGCAGGTTGGGCTACGCCTAATACATTTGCTAGATTTTATAATCTGCGAATGGAACCAGTTTCTTCTAGAGTCCTGAATATCAGTTCTTCGACTCAGGAGACTGGCAGGGTGTAGAGCTTGCTACCAGCGCCGCTCCCCCCTAGGGTGTTTATGCGCTTATTCAGTCCAGCTCAGGTTCCTTTCATGAACTCTGGACTACCCTTCCTTCACATAAGCACTTTACGTAGCGAAATTCGACGGAGGAACTTGCTATTAGAACTCATTATGTGGTAGGTTCCCTCGAGTGAACTCTTGTATTGGGTTAGTGCTCCACATGTAGCGGCTCCTCTTGAGTCCCAATGTGTGTATTCTCCACTGTATTGCCCTTGAGGCTCAGTGGTCCCCTAGACAGACATTCTGTCGATAGGTTCTGGGTTTTGGTAGATCTCCCCTTACATGGAGCCCACCTCAGTACCATCCCTATTTGGTACTTCCTCTGTAAGTCCATAGGTGGATCGTCACATGTTACCTCCCCATCGGGTAGGATGTGATCTCTGTAGTGCCTTTTTCCTCTGGGGGAAATAGTCACTGTCCCAACGTTACTACCAAGACTTTTTAGCTGTTTATTATGGTGAGTATTATTATGGGAAAAGGCTCCGGCTGAGGGGACATCAGCCTCTATGGCAACTCTCCCGGATGTTGGAGAGTGATGTCTTAAGTCTTGGGCGTTGGAAGGTTACGAGGAGGAGAGGTGCATTTGGTTGTGACACGCTGGCTTGTCAACATCTGTGCCCCCGCGGACTCGTGACGCATTTCGGCAGTTGTGGCGTTTAGTATAGGGACCCCTAGTGTTGTACACTCAACACAATGTCGAAGTCTCGGTTACGTATGGTAACCCTCGTTCCCTGATGGAGGGAACGGAGACGTTATGTCCTTCATGCCACAACTCCGAATTGCCTCTGAGTGGGTTGAGACACTTCTCGACTCCTCAGAACAGAACGAGTGAGCAGATGCTATGCTGGCCTATTTATACCCAGATGTCCGGGGCGTGGCCAGCCATGCAAATTCTGCACACCCAATTTCATTGGCCTTTTCTCAAAGATGTCAGAGGTGTTTGGGCTCCCAAGAGCGACCCCTAGTGTCGTACACTCGACACAACGTCTCCGTTCCCTCCATCAGGGAACAAGGGTTACCATACGTAACCGAGACGTTTGATGCTAAAGAAACATTTCTTCTTATTATCAATGTTGAAAACATTTGTAACCAGTTGTGCTGGTTAATGTTTTTGTTGAAAATGTAATTTTACATTGTAAGCTTACATTTTTTTCAGGATTCTTTAATGAATAGAAATTTCAGAAGAACTGCATTTATTTGAAATTTTTGTAACATAATAAATAGCTTTTTTTAATGCATCCCCCCTTAATAAAAGTATTAATAATACTTTTATAAAACCTTTAAAAATTAATCTAAAATAATACTTTAAAAAACTTTTGTATAGTATGTTCAACCATGAAAACCCCTTGTCACTGTATGCTTATATTGTATGGAGTTTAAAACAACAGCATTTCTTTGAAATAGATTTTTTTGTATATCATTATGCATGAATTTCCTGTCACTTTTGATCAAATTTATGTGGCCTTGCTGAATAAAACAATAATAAAAAATGGCAGTGTACATGCATCACATTTCTTTCTGAAAATAATGACAATTCAGTTATTGGGTTTTTGTGTCTCATTATTATTATTCAGGGCTGGCCAGGTGAAAGGCCTGTGCGCTGCTGGATTCCTGTGCATCTCTGGCAGTTCAGAGTTCACTCCTCAAGCCACCTTTCTTCTCAACAGAGACCAGTGTGAGTGGGGAGCACAGTGTACTGGACTGTGTCCTGCTGGTACGTTATTCATCTTCCTATAAACCCTTCCATGAATCCAGAGAAGAGAGCCTTGATACATTAACAAAGTGATCAAGGATCTGTTTTATATGATCTGAATATCAAGAGATGTTCACACTGTCACAGAGTGTGTTTACTCCTGCTCCTGTGTTTGGACAGGCTTTTATTGCCCTGAAGGCACAGAGGAACCTTTATCTTGTCCTGCCAACACTATAAGAGAAACCCCTGGAGCAAGTACTATACATGACTGTCTGCCTTGTCCTCCGAGACACTGGTGCCAAGAGGGTACGTCAATTGCTATACTGGAATTTACATGTGCTATGTGTAAATATTATGTCCAATTGTTCAATGAATTTCTGACAAATGTCCATATATTATTGTATACTTAGTATAGTAGCTTGTTACATCCATCTGAATAAAAAAAATGAAGCATTATTTCACTTTCTGTCTTCTTACAGGTGATCCCATCCCACGCATGTGTCCACCAGGCTATTACTGTGACGGCATAGCTGATTATGAGTCTGAGGGGCGGCCAGGGCCTAGAGAATGTCCCCTGTTTACATACAGGCCCACGTCTGGGGCAGGAAGCAAAGGAGACTGTCTTACCTGCCCCCCTGGCACTTTTTGTAACTCCACAGGTCTGACATACCATGTAGAACATATTATAGTACAGTGGTTCTCAAATGGCTTGGCCATGACCCACATTTTCCCATGGTCATCAAGCCGCGACCCACATTTTTAGGAGATAAATGTAAAAGCAAAATTATTTCACTTAAATTTTTCCCATGGTGAATACACGATACTTGAAACATGGAAACTGCTCCTGAATAGAATGAATATCATACCTTCATGCAAATCCTTCCCAGCTTACACATGAAGTACCAGTTATGCGATCATTCTAACACGTCCCCACATGTCTACGATACGATGTGGGAAGATTTGCAAAGAAAGAAGGCGTAACTTTTATTCTCGCTGTAGTATTGTTGCTGCTGCCATGATGTGTTTTTTGAACCTTAAACCGCATAAACACATTTCATTACACCAAATACACAAAATAATGTTCTTTTTAGGAACATCATATGACCCCTTTAAATTGCATCTGACTGAAGTGTCAACAGCTTTCACGCACGTCTTTCAAAATAAAAGTCTCGCATCAGAAAAACATTTAGTTCTGTCAGGACCACTATCGTCAAAGATGATTGAAAAACTGCTGATAATACTGAGGGACCTTATATATGAATGCTTAGATAGGTGTTGTATTCCTATAGGTAGATGGGGATCAGCTGAGAGTCAGCTGATGCGAGCTTGACTACCGTGACCTGCCAGAACTAACGCTATGCTTTATAATTACGTTTTTTTCTTGTTGATGTTCTTTCTTTAAAGTGCCCCTATTATGTCATTTTTACATCCAGCGATTCTCAAACGATTCATTTGAAGCAGTTCAAAGATTCAGTCTCTCTAAACCCCTCCTTTCCGTGAGCATGCTCTGCTCTTATTGGTCAGATGGCCTAGTCTGTTGTGATTGGTCTACGGCGTACAGCGCGTTTCAGGAACGATACGCCTATTTCAATAGTTCTGTATTTTGAGTGCTCTACAGTATAGAAAATGTAAACATCTATTATTTATCATACTTACAGGTTGTGATTCAGTGGAGCAGCTGGTCCAAATAAACAGGATACTGATTCATCTTTCAACAGCAAGCATTTTGTGAATCCCGCGTTGAACTCCCCGAGATTAGAGAAGCAGTCGTCAGTAGAATGATGTGTTTGTGGGCAGGGTCAAGTTGTTCGCAGATCGTTTACATTCACATACAGTTACATTACACACTGCATGAAAGGCAATATTGGAAATGGCATAATAGGGGCACTTTAACTGTATACTCCGCGACCCACTCAGAATGGTCTTGCGACCCACCAGTTGAGAAACACTGCAATAGTATATATAATCATAAATTTATGTACAGTTAAAAAGTTCTGGTCAGTAAAATGATTATTTAAAAAAAATCACCATTAAATTGATCAAAAGTGACAATAAGGACTTCTACATTGTTACAAAGGTTTTCTTTTTCAAATAAATGCTGTTCTTTTGAACTTAAATTTATTAAAGAATCCTGAAAATGCATCAATTTAACAAAAATAAGCAGTTTTTAACTGTTTTCAAACTGTTTTCAACATTGATAATAATGAGAAATGTTCCTTGAGCATCAAATCAGCATATTAGAATAATTTCATATGACAATAAAAACTAGAGTAATGGCTGCTGAAAAGCGTTACATCACAAAAAAAAAAATAATTTTAAAGTATTTAAAAATGGAAAACAGTTATTTTAAATCATAGTAATATTTAACAACATCATGAGTTTCACTGTATTTTTTATCAAATATAAGCAGCCTTGGTGAGCATAAGAGACTTCTTTCAAAAATATTTAAAAATCCTACTGACCCCAAAATGTTGAACAGTAGCGTATCTTATATAACATACTATAGATAATCATATACTTGCTTCATTTCTAGGACAGAATGATGATTTACATTCATTTACATCTTTGTGTTCCTGTCATCAGTAAACTTTGTTTTTATAACCGTCTCCCTAGGGCTCACTGATTTCTCAAGCTTCCTTTGTCCACCGGGTCATTGGTGCAGTGGGACAGGTTTCCCCGTGCCCTGCCCTGCAGGCACCATGAGGGCACAGGCAGGGGCAGCTGCTGTCAGTCAGTGTGAGCCTTGCCCTCCTGGTACCTACTGCCCAGACTCTCGCACCACGGGCCAGCCTAATACAGCAGGCATCCCATGTCGAGCTTCTTACGAATGTCCTGCAGGTAGTTGTGATTTCTACATGATTGATATTTACAAATGCACTAAAAGGTGTATAAATGGCACATATTATAACCGTGAAGTGTAATAAAGTGGTCCATCATACAGGTTCAGTCACAGAGACCCCTTGCAGAGCTGGTTCATACTGTAGACCCCAGACAGGAGATCCCACACCATGTCCTGCAGGATACTACTGTCCTGAAGGATCTCGCACCTACAGCTCACCACAGCAAGTGTAAGCACCAACCTACTAGGGATGTATAATATATTGCAATGAGAGGTTTTTCAGTATTGGATATTAATTGTGATATTCCTTTCCTCTATTTTTACTTTTCCTATCACTCACTTATACTAATTTAAATATAAATATGATTAAGAGAAAATTATTTTTGCAGATGTACTTTTCCACATTACTGCCCAGCCAACAGTTCTACCATGCTGTCCTGTCCAGATGGCTGGATGCCGCTGAACACCAGCGCGTTGAGGAAGTCTCAGAAGAGTAGCTGTGTGCTGTGTGGGGCCGGCACCTATCGGCCCAGTCGCTCCCCTCACCTCCAGTGCCTCCTCTGCCCTCCAGGACATCACTGCCCTCCGGGTCAGCACTGAAGAGCTCCCATAATGCAAACAATAGCAGCGCTGATTGATTATGTTTAATATTTGAATGATCTGTTTACTAGGCTCACACCATTATAGTGATCAACCCTGTCCAGTCGGGTACCTTTGTCCACAAGGCAGCTCCGATCCTGTTCCCTGCCCGCCTGGCTCATATGGAAACTGCACTAGCGCTGAATCACTTGAGGAATGTCACAAATGCCCACCAGGGACCTTCAATCACTTGCACGCCCAGAGAGCCTGTTTCCCCTGTGGGAGTTCGTCCACCTCAGATGCAGGTCAGAGTGTGTTTTTAAGACACTTTCTTTATCCTTAGGGGCCATTTACACAGAATGTGTTTTTGCCTTTAAAAATGCAAAATGCAGGCAGTGCTGGGTAATAACAGATTAGGAATTTTACTAAACAGGGCAAATTAGCGTTAGAGGGTTAGGGTTAGGGAGCCGATGGGAGGGAAAAATTTTGCGGGTGATTTAATAACAATGCTCACATTAAAGAACACAGACGCAGCCAGATCATTTCCATAATGGCCAGCGCAATCTACCAAGAGCAGTGCATATTACCATCTGCTTTAAGACATGCTTTTATGGGCGTTAAATAGTGGTGCAAATACCAGTAATTTGGCGCAAACGTTGTATGATTAATTTTAATACTCTACTCCCATAAATTTTGTGTATTCAATAAGGTCAGGCGCAATGTTCATGCCTTTTCAGTGCTAATTCTTCATTGAGTGTCTTTAGTAAATCCTGACAGTACTATTTTAATGCCAAAAGATGGTTTGCGCTGGCGCAAGCTGTTAGTAAATCTGGCCCTGTATGTCTTCTGGATTACGCAATCAGATTCCAAAAATGAAATACTTGTATTTAAATTATATAAATTTTTCACTACTACTATACTACAACTACTTTTATTGATTACATGATTACAAAATCAATGACCCTTTATGCTCTTAAAAAACAAACCATAGCATGTAATGTTGTTTCTTTTCATAGGGCCGTCCTCTTGTACCTGCATAGGCAAAAACCGTGCGTTCCAGCACTCAGATGGGTCGTGCTTGTGTAAGACCGGTTTTGTCTTTTACAATGAATTAGACTTCAAAAGCTCCACCGCAGACAGTGAACTGGACTGTCAGCCTGAGGTGAGATGTGTGCACCGAAGAAATGCTCTGTGTTTCTTCAGTTTATTTGTGTGAAAAGACAGTAAGGAGCTCTTCATTCTGTGTAGGTGAAGATGCGCTGTGGGGCAGGTCAAGTGAGACTGGCCTCTACGCTGGAATGTGTTTTCCCATCCACCTACTCTTGTAACGTCACATGTGGACCTCAGGGTGGTACTTTGGATGTTGGGATGGGCATGTAAGTTTGCTGTTCCAGTGAGGAGGGAGACTTCTGTGTATTATAATGTTAACACTTTACAGTAAGGTTCAAGTTTTAGGTATAATTAACTTGGAATGAAAATACATTTACAGTATTTATTTATTTCAATGTTTATGCTAATTGCTACATAGAGTGGCATTCAAAAGTTTGGGGTATATAAGATTTTTTTTTTTGACAGAAATTAATACTTTTTTTCAGCAAGAGCACATTAAATTGACCAAAAGTTACAGTAAAGACATTTATATGTAATACAAGTAACAAATAAATGCTGTTCATTTGAACTTTCTATTTATTAACGTATGCTTAAAAATGTATTTCGACTGTTTTCTACATAACCATATTAGAATGATTTCTGAAGGATCATGTGAGACTGAAAGGCTGGAGTAATAATGCTGAAAATCCAGCTTTGCCATCACGGTTATGAATTACATTTTAAAGTTATATTAAAATAGAAAAAGTTATTTTAAATAGTAAATTCTGCCTTGGTGAGCATGTGAGATTTAGTTCACAAACATCAAAAAATCTTACTGACCCAAAACCTTTGAACAGTAGTGTACATTAAAATTTTTAACAGTTGTATAAATTAACAGTGTATTATAATCTAACATAAATTAACAGTGAACAAAAGCGTATTTACAAACTTTAACAAATTAATTAATAAATGCTTTAAGAAGTTGTTGTTCATTAGTTCATGATACCTAATACATTAACTATGTTAACAAATTTAACCTTGTGTTACAATTATTATATTTTTTTTACTACATGTCTCTTTAATACTTACAGTATGTCAGACTCTGTTCCATGTTTTGTGTGTGTCCTGCTCCCCATGTGCCTTCCCATGCCCTTATTTGGTTAGTTTCCTGTTCCTGTCCTGATTAGTTTATTTAATTTGTCCCAGGTGTTTCCCTTGGTTTTATTGCTCCCAGGTGTGTCTCGTCATCCCCTCCTCCTGTGTGTGTGTATAAAATGTGTTCCCAGT